TTTCGTGTTTGCTAGCCTCATTCACAGAATTGACGTGAGTCAAATTTTGAAGGATTTATTCATTTAAGTCTCAAAAACCAGGTGCTTTTAATCGCATTGTGAGTCCAAAAGCATCCGATTATTGAGACTTATGAATTTTGAAAATTGCTTGAAAAAATTCTTATGGAAACTTATGACTTATGAAAAAATTGAGATTTATGAAAAAAAAATTCATAAACCTTAATTAACTTTGTCCCTTTTAAAATTAGCTAAGGCTGAGATGCTCCACATCTGTTGTACTGCGGCATTCAACTTTATTGAAATCGTTTTGCACTATTTAATTATGAAATCTTCGATGTTATTACGATGCACTCGCATTCCAGGGAAGCAATTTTTTTAGGATTTTTCGTTTTGGATTTACCCGCAACCATATCTTTGCTTGTTTGTAACGTCTCATTTTTGTGAAATAGTTACGCGTTTTGGTACTCCGACCATCAGCAATTTCTTAACGTCTTGTTTCAGTTGACTACAGGCAAAACTGGCATTTTTTACGTTCTGTACTGTACTCGAAGCTGCATCATGTGTTGACATAGGCGGATCCAAGGCAAGGGAGTGAGGGGGGGGGGGCGGAGGGTCTTTCATCTCCCAGTGGCGTAGGCACCAGTGTTTCAGAAGCCCGGGTCTGTTTACAAATAAAACTAAAGTAACTCTTAGTAGCAGTTTTACTATTCCTAGTTTTTGCTTAGTGCCGAGGTGGGCAGGGATTTCCTCCCCGCCTCCCGTCGCCCTCTCCCCCTCCCCAGGAATTCTACTCTCCTCCACCGTTGTTCGCCTCCGCCCCTTCCCTCTCCCCTGCCCTACCGCTGTCCTCTCTCCCCCTCTTTAGGAGTCAGTCCTCCCCCTTCCCCCTCTTCTGCAGGGGCTCCACACTCCACCGTTCTTCGCTTTCCCCCTCCACCCTCTTCTCCCTCTCTCCTCCCCCAGCTGCCCCCCTGGATCCACCTATGTGTGTTTGTAGCGCAGGAATATATTTTCTACTTTTCTGGGTCCTCTGGAGAGAAATTTGTGATTTTACATTTGCGTTTTCTCTGCCACCTCTACAATATTGTTAAGCGGTTTTCGCGAACTTTGGATTCTGGATGCGCAGTTCGCCTGAACAACACAGCGAAGCAGCCACTGGACGTGCACTTTAATCTCGTTATTTTTTTTTCCAACTGTAAAATTGTCATCATCTGATTTGTTATTGTTCTGGAAATTTTTGCTAATAAAAGTAAAAAGCAAAAATTCGTACAACATTCAGCTTTTTGCTACAGTTAGCCAGCTTCAAGCTTTACTGATTGCTTTTCCACTGATTGGGAATCCTGGAACTGTGAATCCTTTTTCCGAATTGTCTTTGGGGTTCTGGGTGTAATGTCATGATTTTCCAGTATTTTGGGTTTGAATATTTCAAAAAAATTTTGCGCAATAGTCAGCAAACGGCTGAACTCAAGCAATGGATACACAGAAGCCGGTAAGGGTTTTTTTTTATAAAATTTGGTGGGGCTCATGATGTACTTGATTTTACCGCAGAATTCCAAACCTTGTTTTCCTGATCTCAGCAGAAGTAGGGAGTGTTTTTGCTTATTTATTTATTAGTCTGGAATGAGACGATGATTACTGTGATTGCTTGGGAAGATAAACCCAGAAATCTGGGGAAGACCTACGGCAAGAACTGTTCAGAACTGTATTCCTCCAGTAAGTACCTGCCATTTTTGTGGAAACAGTAAGCCGGTTTTAGCATCCAGGTTGAGTAAATTAGAAAAAGAAGGGCGGGATAAATAAGTGACAGGTGAGATACATACGCGTGCTGGTAAAGTTTTTAGAAACCATAATCGTATGTTCCTTTTTTTATG